GAAAGGATTATTAAACACCGATTAGAATTTCATTTGACTAGCACCGCCTTTTTTCCGTTGGAACAATTTGGTTTTAAAAAAGGGTTTAGTACTATTGACGCAGTTTCTTATTTAACAACAGACATTCAGTTATGTTTTTCAAATAACTATTACCTAGGTGCTGCATTTCTCGATATAAAAGGTGCATACGATGCAGTTAATATCATTATGTTAAGAGAAAAATTGTTTCAGGCAGATGTCCCTGCGAGAGTGTGTAATGTCTTGTGCAATCTTTTAACACAAAGAAAAGTTTATATAAGGTCAAATAACAATGCTGTAATAGGTCCCAGACGATCATCCACAGGTTTACCACAGGGTTCCGTTATCTCTCCCCTTTTGTTTAATGTTTTTACAAAAGAAATTCACGAGGAAAAAAATAATTATAATATTATACAGTATGCTGATGATTTTGTTGTTTATAACACTAATAAAAAATTAGAAGTAGGTATAACTGAACTCACGTCCCATATACAACTAACTACTTTGAAATTTGAATCGTTAGGGTTTTCTCTAACCCCTCAAAAATCTAGTGTTACCATCTTTACAAGACATAATCTACCCAATATTGATAACATAAATGTAAATGGTACCTTATATCCAGTATCAAATAAGGTAACTTATCTTGGAATTATTCTTGACAAGAAGCTTAACTGGAAACCATTTATACAAAGTATAGAATCAAAATGTTTAAAAGGCATAAATTTTTTAAAATTCATAAGGAGAACATGGTGGGGAGCAGATCCACAATCGTGTTTAACTTTTTACAAAGCCTTTATTAGGTCGATCTTGGATTATGGATGTACGTTATATGGGTCAGCCAGTCCTTACATTCTAAAACGACTGGAAATAATTCAAAATATTTCCCTAAGACTCTGTTTGGGTGCAATGTGTTCAACGCCTGTGGAACCACTTCGGATTGAAGCTCTAGAACCACCATTATTTTTACGGAGGGAATGGCTAGCAGAAAAATTTATTATTAAGTCTTTTTGTAAAAACCGTACTCTGTTAGATAAAATAGCCTTATTAAATAACCACGATTTAACTAACACGTACTGGTCAAAAAAACCTTCTCCTCCATTATGTATGGCTTTTAGAAATACAAGTAGTTATAATAGTGATTTAAAAAGAACTATTTCAGTCGAAAAATCTGAATTCTTTGACATGTTGGAACCACTAGAAATTAATATTCCTGTATACAATGAAAATTTGTTGATAAGTAAAAATATATTAAGCACCTGCATATCAAATCTATCAGATTTTCTGGAAATATATACCGATGCATCAAAACAAAATAATGGTACGGGATGTGCATTCTATATACCATCAACAAACGTTCAAGAAAAATTCAAACTGAATAATAATACTTCCATTTTTTCTGCAGAAGCTATTGGTATTATTAAAGCCTGTGATTATGTCGAAAAAAACAAGTTAAAAAAAATAAATTTTTTGAGTGACTCATTATCTGTTCTTAAATGCATTGCTAACCCAATTAATGTGATGGCTACTGATACAAATCCTTTTATTAGAGAATTAAAAGTAAGAATTCATAAATTAAAAAAAAGTCAATACGAATTAAAATTCACTTGGGTAAAAGCTCATATAGGACTTCGTGGCAATGAAGTTGCAGACTCCTTAGCCAAAGAAAGCGTTACAACCGGAGAGCATATCAACAACAATTTAGGTGCTCAAGAATATTTAATGATATCAAAGAGTAATTTTAAGGCAAAATGGGAACTGCATTGGAAAAACTATTGCTCTAATAACCTCACACGATACACACTATTACATCCAAGTATTCCGACAGATTTTTGGCACCAAGATTATGATTTTACAAGAAATGATATTGTGACCATATGTAGGCTGAAATTCGGACATGCAAGCTACCCTCAACACTTATATAAAATCGGTGTAGTCAACACCGAACTTTGTGAAACTTGCAATGTGGTTTGCGACTTAGATCACATTTTTTATGCTTGTAGTAAATTTGAAATACAAAGAGAAGAACTTATTAATAGTTTAATATTGCAAAAATTATACCCCCCTTTCAATCTACTTTATTTGATATCATTAAATATGTACAAGGTATATAAAATTATTCTTAAGTTTATTAAAATGTGTAAATTAAAACTTTAGTGTAGGTATGTAGGTGTTAAGCTCGTTACCTCTGTTTAATCACCAAGTATTTTACCTTTTTACCTATACTTTCCGTGGTCTACACTTTCTGTCTGTGAGTCACCTTGAATGACCCCTAGGTGCGAAAAGTAATCCTAGTTCCTCTCCCATTGTAATTCTTCTTTTAATTTCCAGAATTGTAGTGTATTTAGTTTAGTTAGATTAGGTTATTAAGTGAACGTTATTACACATTTGTTGCTGGCTAGATGGGCACTTAGCCCGATTGCCATAAAAAAAAAAACAACTGGCAAAGCGCTCATCGATAGATGGGGAAAGCATACCAATATACCTTATTTGGTAGACTAACAAACTCGTGAATTGTTATTGCTGTTTTTTGGCTCATTAAAGGGGCGTAAAGTGCACTACAGTGTGAATAACTCTAACAGAATTTACCATCCGGAAGATATAAATGTTAAAAAGCTTCTTGAATTACTTTTGACCAAACGTCCTCATATTGGATGTGTTATTCAGGTAAATATTTGTATCAGAGTTTAACATCTCGATCGGTTACCTACGAACTTAAACGTACTGTTGGTGTGACGAGCAGAAAGAAAAAAATTATTGAGCTTCCTCATTCTATATTTTTAATATTCATATTTTGTCAAATGGTGTTTCAATCATGTACACGTATGACCAAACTATCGCAAAAACGGGGTCGGAGGACATTGATTCAATGCTCTATTATTTTTTGATGTTAAAAACTTTATGTTTGCCAAACCTTGCTAATGTCGTCTCCGGGCGATTATTAGTAAACGTAGGAAATTGAAATGCAACTTGGTGCCATAACCATGTTTACTAATATCTCTAACTATTGCGCAATATTGTGAAATATTGCGTAGTTAGCCGGTACGCTCTGATTTGGGCATTGTCTTAAAAAAGACAATGCTGCAGGGGTTGTAGGTACTTTAGAAATAAAAGACACAATTTCTAAGTGGAAAAAAACTCAGCGTCAGAGTCTTTAGAACTTTTCAGAGCCCTTCAAAGTGAAGAGCCCTGGGGCTACCCTCTAAGGGTAAAACCAGACTGACTGCAAATCCGAAAATGTCCCATATTTAAAGTAAAATTAACTTTTATATGAAACCTTTTCGATTTTTAACCAATTAAAATTTGAATAAAACTCCAGAAGGAAGGGCGATGAACATCGAGGTGCGTGATTGGTGGCACCTGATGACACTAAGGACAAAACAAAATCACACCATTATCCAGTTCTTCCACAACCTAACTACTACACTAAAAAGGATTCACACTGTGACAATTACTTACTTAGTGCGCGGCTTCATGGAACCGGACAAAAACATGAAATTGATCCCCAAAAGTGCAAAGGCTGAAATTCCAGATGTCTGGGGAGAGGTTATAGAAGCCGCGCGAATCAAGCCACATCCGTTTGTTGTTGTATCATGTGAATAAATTATGTTTAAAGAGTGGTGTACACTTTTGTCTTTCAAGTTCTACAAAAAGAAATTTTCTTTTCCTATTTGGCCACTAAAGCAGTTTATGTTTTTTTAAACAAAATGCAAAACCGTGGATCACAGAGAAACATATAACGGATCTTTCACGTCATCCCTAGTAAAAGTTCAACGGAAAAACCAGAAGAAACCAGAAATTATGTGAAGAAGAGGGATCTAAAGAGTCCTACAGCCGACTTCTTTCTGTCAATCAGCCTGAGTTACCATCTGAGTCCAATGATGTTCCCGATGATCAAAGCGATTTTCAGAAATCAGATTAACTTTAGTTAGTAGTTTGTAGCTTGGTTTGTTCTTTTAATGTAATATAGAAATGCTTTACGAAATAAAAAAATAATAAAAATAAAATTTTGAATTGAATAAAACTTGATCTGTTCAGGGGAAGAATCAACTCAGTCCACATTTTGTTTAAATATAAAATATCTAACTACTAAATAATAATTCAATCAAAACATTATTTCAGCTATTTATAAGAAGTACATATCGAACTAATATATAAAATCCTATAGTTAAAGATGTAAAAAAACAAAAGATTTTTATCGTTTCAAATTTTCTTGTCTTTCTCCTGAAAAATATAATTTTTTGACTTAGTTGCCTTTTCCCCTGTACCCTTCAATTGATGTATTCATGACGACAATGTCCAAAATTAACTAAATATTTTAAACTAATGAAAAGTTTTTCTCTTTTTTTTGCAGTTTTTCTTAGATTCATATCTTAAATTTTAAGAAAAATCATTTTTATGACGAAATAAACATCTATTTTAAACAACAAAACCAGAATATGGATAATTCGATTTTAAAATAAATTGGTATAGTTGGCTGCATAACTTGCAGATACAACGACAAAACGTACGCGAAATCATGAATCGTGAAATCTTCAACGTTGAAATTCAAAAATGCGTGTCATAAACTAAATCGTATTTATCATTTTTTTTTATAAATTTCTGAATTTATTACGAATGAGATAGAAAAAACTGTCCCTAAATAAAGATAAACAAAATAAAATATGTTCGTTTGACATATAATTCTATGTTTACATAGTTAAAATACATTCAATGATTCAAAATATAATAAATATTCGCGCCATTACAAAAAGTTTAAAACAAATGAGAATCAAAATTGCCAAAACACTTGTCACTTACGGCGTATAAAAATCATTTCGTTATAAGCAGTTTAATTATTGTAACAGGTGTAGCGAAGTTCATTTGTGTGCAATATATTGTACCTATCTAATATATGTGCATACTTAGTTATCTAACAAGTAATAAGTTAATAACTAAATAAACAGAAAAAGTGTAATTGTTCAGCAATAGCTGAATTTAACAATATGAGTGGATCAAATAAACAACAGGCGAATTCACCACGTCCTCAACAAAATGAAGGAGCAGACATTCCAGTAATTCCTCCAGAGGAAAATCCAGTTGCTCAAATGCAAATTCCAGTTCCTGTAGAACAAAATCCAATTATTCCCGAACAAATGGTAATACCTCAGCAAAATCCAGTTGTTCAGCAACCAAGACCAGTTGGGCAACAACCAAGACCACTTGGTCGGTATAATCCAGCTCGTTTTCCTCGACTTCCGGTTCCTCAAAGGGTTCGTCCCCGTAATCGTTTAAGAAATGGTTACAGAATCCATCCACATCTTATTGCCCTTCAAAATGCAGTTCGTATGGGAGAGGCCAGTGGCTTCCGCCCTCGTAGAGCTAGAGGCAATTTAACAATGAGAAGCTACAGAGCACCACTAAGAGCAGAACATCCAGGAATCATCGGAGATTCCCGTAACAACCCCTGGCTAGAGCAATTCATCCACGTAGACAGGAGCAGGCAGCTCCTCTACAACAGGAGCCTCATCTAGTCATAGTGGAATCCGATTCAAGCGATGAGGATTAAACAGTTCAAAAACCTATCAGAGACTGATACGTGTTTAGTGTTATAATAAAATAAAAAAAAAATGTGTGTGTTTTTTGTAAAAAGTATAATTTTTTTTTGTTATTTGTAAATGTAAAAAGTATTGTAAATTGCTACTTGTATCTTTCATTTTTTTCAATAAAAATTAATAAATAAAGGTTCTAAACCACATTTCTTGTAGTCATTTTTTATTCATAATTTCTGAAACTCTTTGATGGACTAAACCTCAATTGATTGTAATAAAAATTACATTTTACATTTGTTGTTGCAAAAACAAATTTAAAATGTAATATTTATAATAATTATTTGGGGTTTAAAACCATATAAATATAATATTTATCGAATTTAAGGAAAAGCAACGTCGATTTCTCAAGCTGTGTGGCAATTTGGCAACATAGGTAAGTTATTCGTAGTTCTCTGTTATTAACACATCACATAATCGTATTGTTGTGACTTGTGACATTGTTATGTTTGTTTTGTTAATAATTTGTACTGGATATTTCCAACGTTTATATTTTTCTCATAAATTAAGACAATTAGAAGGCTAAATCTTTTGGTGATTGCTGGTAAGTACCATTGACTAGCTGAATTGAGAGTTGTAGAAGTACTAAAATCAAGGTAAGCTTTGTTTTTACCATTTATCTACATTTAACCTGTAAATCTCTAGACAATTTTAATTTCTACTGAAAATTGGTTTCAAATATATACAAGAACATGTCTTTCAGATGCCTAGGAAGTGTATCATACCAAAATGTACCTAAAACTACCAAAATCAGAAATATGTTTACATTTTCCATGCCAAACCATACTCCAGGAGAAAAATATAGTTAAGAGCCATTCCAAAAGACCAATGGGTACCATATGACAAAGCAGCTGTATGTGAGAAACAATTTATCGAAGATGATATACGAAATCATACCATGCACCATGAAAAGTAAAACAGAAACACTTGAAATACCCAAAATTTATTTAAGATGCCATGCTAACTATTTTCCTAATCTACCTTATAGGTATCTCATCGAAAAATAAAGAAGCGAAAGACTTCAGAAGACAAGAGGCACTTTAACGTAGAAAGAATCGATAGTTAGTTAGATAGCAGTAGATAGAAGTTCTCAGGCTATATCAGTAGTGCATATTAAAGGAGATTTTGTGTATATAAATCTCCTTCAAATACAAAGATACCTCTAGTACATTTTATCTCAAATTAATATAGGTTAATGCACGAGAAGACAACTCTCATATTTATATATAAACATCTAAATATTTGCCAAAAATACATTTATTTGCATGTAATAATGTGTAATTGATTCTTTTAGAATAAAATAAAACTGGTAGTAAATCTTCACTTACTACAAAAACTATTCATTTCTTTTATTAGCTTTACCACTCCTAAAATTTTTTTTGTGTATTACTTATGTTTGTAGCATACAATGCATATATATATATATATATATATATATATATATATATATATATAATATATATATATATATATAAAATAAAATGTAATGGCATGTGTTGCAAAACAGGAAAGTAAAAAATAAAATAGGTATATCGATGAAAGGCAACTGTATTATGTATTTCTGACTATTTTGGCATCTTCAGTATGGTGCAGCCAAGTTATAACTTCGCTGTACTGTACTGAAAACAACCAATAGTCAGAAGTAGCTATATATGCTTGTTTTCCATCGATATACCTATTTTGTTTTTGGTGTTCCTGTTTTGTGAGATATGCAATTACATTGTACTTTTATTATTCACTCACATTAACCTTTTCCATCATTCCATGTTGCCATGGTGTCACCAAGTAACAAATCTTCAGGTTTCTACTGTGACAAATATATTTTGCTAATATTATAAACATCTCTAAAACATAAGGTGCATACTTATCAACCTGCCACTGTCATGTTGTCAATTCTAATAGTGTGGTTTGTGAGGTATAAGTAGCTTTGCCTAAACATAAGAAACTTGGTTCACAAGTTTTTCTTGATGTAAGGATGAACTGTGTTAAATTTGACAGTAATAGTTTTTCTTGTTTTGTCTTCTTTTGATGGAAAAATCATAAATTTTTGAAACTTAGCACCTTCATAGGCCTTTCTTAGTTTATATTATAAATAACTAACTGGTATTGTTCTAACACCTTTTAAGAAGTCCATTGTGATGACTTTTTAGAAGGGCCATAACAAAATAGTCTATTTGATTATCTGAATTTTAATAAGATATTAAATCCCAATAAATTTGGTTTTATACAAAGAAATTGTACTTAGATGTCATGCAGCTCATTAATACCCTCAAGAACGATGGTATTAGAGATGTACTGGAAGTTTTTCATAATTAGATATAGATGTATACTGATTTTTTAAATATAAAAATTAGAATACTTCTGTGGTTAGTCCACTACTTTTTATTGCTTATATAAATTCTTATTTGAGTATGGCTATAAATAGAGTCACTATTTCATTTATAGATGATACAGTCTTAGTTTTTAAAGACAAAAGTTTGCAAGCATAGTGGTTGAGGGTTTTGTAAATGTTAAACAATGGCACGATAATATTAAATTAACTTTTTAAACACAGATAACTCTTTTTATATAGCATTTTCATTAAATAATACAAACAGACTAAATTTTAATTGTATCAAAGTACATGATTCAGATATTAGTAGAGAAACTAATACTCTCAGAAATATTTAGTCATTAAAATTAACCAGAATCTGAAATTTACTGATCGTATTCAAGATCTATTCAGTAAAATTAGATGTTTAATACATAAATTTTATACTCATATAGTGAAGTCATTCTTGAGATATGGTAAAATTGTATGGGGAGGGTTCTACAACAATATATTGAAACATTTAGATGTGGTACATTCTGCATATCATCTATTTTACAGGTAGAATTTATCCTACAACTTTTTAGATTTTTCTATATGGAATAAAAAACCCCATAGAATTTAAGATTAATAGATTTTCTTCTTTTTATATCATATGTTTTCCTTGTCTTGAAGAAATTGTGCTGGAATTTGAAAACTTCAAACAAAGGTTCCTTTTGGTGTAAGCAATTTGGTCTCAGTAGGCCTTTTCTTTTCTTCCTTTATGAAGGAGTAGTCCTAGAGTCTTGAAACTGAGTATATGGATTGCTGGTGATGTAAGAAGGGACCTTATTGAATTTAGAGTCAATATAACTTCTCACATACTTGATACAAAAATGATTTTTAGTGTTCTTGAAAGAAAATTCTTATATTTTAGAGACTTGGTAGATAAATTGGATAGATGGGCTAATTGTTGTTATCTATTTTCTTTTTCTTGAAGGAAATGTTCTCGAATTTGGAAACTTGGTATAGAGATTATTTTTTATGTAAACAATTTGGTCTCAATAGATCTTCCTCTTTTCTTGTTCATGAAGGAATAGTCCTACAGTCTTGAAACTTGGTATATGGCTTGCTGGTGATGTAAGAAAGAACCTTTAACTAGAACCTATTGAATTTAGAATAAATGTAACTTCTTACAATCTAATTGTTTGTTGCAGTTTTATATCTTGTTCTATATATAAATCTAGATCATCTGCAAATGTGATTGTTTTACAATGTATATATCCAAGATGCCATTATCAATTATCTTCCTCCTCAAAATAAGGTCTACCACCAAAATTCATGTATTAGTGCAAGTGCCAAAATCATTCTTGATCCAACCGTTTGATGGAAATCTGGGAAGAGGAAAAAATTACGGATGTATGGAGACATGAAACAATATGTCTCGTCTATGACATACCATAGTATAGTGATGTAACAAATGTCATTTTTTAAACATTCGCGAATGCGAATATATGCCACCGACATTCGCGAATGCGAATGCGAATATTCAGTTTTTTTTTAATTTGGCAATTTTAATTGTCTCCGGCACTGCCGGCAGTCTCATTTGCGCGAGGTGTGTAGGCAATTGGAAAAAGTCTGTCATTTTTAACTGCTTTAAATTGTCCAGTATCATTCTATCATATTTTCTAAAGTAAAGATGTGAAACAGTTGTATTTATTGTAAAGAAGTTTATTGTTTATAAGTTTATTGAGGGGTCGTTTAAAAAGGTATTTATTTATAGTCACGTCCGGGCCAAAAACGTATAAAGCACGTTTTTCGATCTTATTTTCTCTTGTTATAATCAAATTTGACTTGTTATAGAGAGAAAGTTATAGCAGAGAACTAAGTTCTCTGGTAATAGTTCCAATAAAAATTTCACGGGACACAAGTCACTCCACTTGCCCTGCTCTGCTCGTGCACAAATACAAGTGGATTTTTAGTTAAAGTGTGATTATAGTGAAATATGGACTTATTTTTCACCACTTTCCGATACTGAACGAGCTAAATGCAAGCTGTGTAATATTCGCAAAACATTCGCACAAATTTTGCGAATGCAAATGCGAATATGCAAAAATATGCGAATATTCGCGAATGCGAATATTCGTTACATCACTACCATAGTATGAGGAATAAAAAGGAAATTAAAGAAATACATGAATGTAAAGTTTGGTGAAGACCAGAAAGGATTCAAAAGAGACTAATCTCTTCTTCTAGCTCCATGACAACTGTTATCGATCATTGGCTATCATATTCGGTATCATGCTTTTATTGAAACCAACTCTTAAAAATAATGTGGTGAGTTTTCCATGCCATTGTCTTAGATTTTTCAGCCATGATGTTCTTCTTTTACCAGAACCACATTTACCATGGATTGAACAATGAGATGAATATAATATGTTCATCTCACTGTATAATTAAAAAGAAGCATAATAAAAATTATCTATTGCTGCCACATTTTTTATTCATTGTCAAAATCTTCAAAAACTATTGATATTGCTAATTTTTAATTAACTAATTTTATTATTTAATGTGGTTAATTGTTCTGTCATTTCTGCTCCACAATATTTCAGTAATTCGTTTGGTATCCCGTCTTTATCTGCTGCTTTTCTGTTCTTAAGGTTTTGAAGTATTTTTCGAACTTCCTGTACATTTATATTAGGTTTTTCATTTGTGGTAATTTCTAGTGTTTCCGGTTCTAGCATCTATTGTTCTTCCTCTGCATAGAGCTTTTTTAGGTAGTCAATCCACATATCCTTTTCTATATGTTTTGGTTCTATTAGTTCCTTTGCCTCCGCACACTTCCCTTGCAAGTTCTTCGTTTCTAATTGTCTTGTAATTATGGTACGCCTCTGGTAAGCTTTTTTCTTTTGTTTACATTTTTCCTTCACTTCTGTACAAAACCATTGAGTTCTTCACCTTAGGAAATATATTATATTATAGTTATAATAGTTATCAAGGATCATCGATTAGTGTTACTCTTTTTCTTATTGCTATTAACAGTATTTTGGAAAACGATTCTCCATCAGTAAAAAGTAGGCTATACGCAGATGATCTCATAATTTATTGTAAAGGAAGAAACATAGAACTAATTAAACAAACCTTACAAGATACTATTTCTGCATTAGAAAAATGGTCAATGAAATCTGGACTGAAATTTTGTTCCAACAAAAGTAAATGTATCCATTTCACCAGAAAACGCAATGTTAGTAGTCCAGAACTTACAATCTTTAATACAAAAATAGAATATGTTGATTGTATCAAATTCCTTGGAATTAATTTTGACAAACATTTAAATTTTAAGCAACATATTTATTATCTTAAAACATCTTGTCAACAATAGGACAAAGTCCTATCTACTAAAAATTGGTGATGTGATCAAGATATCTTATTGACAGTATATAAAAGCCTTATTAGATCTAAAGTCGATTACGGTTCAATAGTATATGGGTCTACTAGTCAACCACTTTTGAAAGAGTTGCAAACAATCCAAAATGCTGCTGTAAGAATAGCCTTAGGAGCTTTTTGTACCACACCTACAGATAGCTTATTATGTTTAGTAGGAGAAATGCCTCTGGAATTAAGAAGACAATATCTTAGCCTAGCATATGCTGCAAACGTTTCAGCAAATAGTGAAAATCCCGTCAGAAACAATGTCTTTGCTTCTCGTTTCCACACAACATATCTTAACAAAAAAGATCTAAACCCTCTTTTTATGAAAGACTCAATACATACATGACCAGCAATAATATTGTCTTCCCTAAAATATACCAAACCACTCTTTTAACCGCTCTGCCTTGGATGGTCAGAAAACCCTTCCTAGTCTTGAGTTTAACAAAGACTAGTAATCAACTTATGCTTCCTCTATGGTTAAACAATTTTACAGTAAGATTGATGAGTACCAGAAATACCATCATATTTATACTGACATGACGCCTCCAAATCAGAAAAAGGAGTGGGATGTGCCTTCATACACAACGACTACACTGCTTCATACAAAATCTCAAATTTTAGCACAGTATATACAGGAAATGTACATTTACACTGGACGCCAACTTAGACAGGTGCCTAATGATAACAGATTCCTTAAGTTCCATGAGTAGCTTAGGCACCATTTACCCAACTCATCCATTATTGCGATTGATAAAGAACCATTTGTACTAACTTCAGCTAAAGAATACGATTGTAAAATTTATGTGGATTCCGTCACATGTAGGTATACAAGGTAATGAAAGAGTAGATGCTGTCGCCAAATCTTCAGTTAACAACGAAGACTTGATAGAACCTACCTATAAGAAAGATTCTCATCACTGGATTAACTCGACATGGAAAGAACGGTGGTTTCAAGAATGGAATCAATCTCAACAAAAACTACGAGACATAAAAACAACTGTTACAAGATGGAAGAATATGTGTAGCAACAGGAAAGACCAAATTATAATAAACAGACTGAGATTAGGACATACACGCTCAACACACGAATATCTTATTACTGGAAGTGTTCATCCAATGTGCGGTAAGTGTTTCAACAGTTTACAACCAAATTTAAACATCAGTGCGTGTACAAATAAATGTGCAATCTTCTACTAACCAATGTACTTTAACTCAGATTTATGTATGTCATATCTATGTTTAATCTATGTCTAAAAAAATGTAAAAAAATTGTAATACCAAGCGGCGCTAATAACCACTTAGGTTGATGCGCCTTAATTGTAAATAAAAAAAATAGTTATATTTCCAAAAAATAAGGCTACATAATACAAATACAGTGGAACCTCGATTATCCGTCAGGGCACCGGACCAAGGGTATGACGGATAATCGAAAAGACGGTTAACAGAGCATTAAACAAAATATACAAATTCATAGTATAACTCTTAAAATGTTATTTGTATGTTTTATTTCCGAAGCGCATTGGGCACAAGAGAGGCGATCTTCAGTCTGCAAGTTTTAATTCAAAGATGCAGAGACATGCACAAGGACGTCCACTTGTGCTTCATCGACTTCTCCAATGCGTTTGACAAGGTCAAACATGATAAACTCATGGAAATACTCAGGAAGATGCATATTGATGGCAAGGATCTGCGCATAATAACCAGTCTCTATTGGAACCAAAGTGCTGAGATAACGATGGGCAACTTACACAGTGGGAAGATAGATATTAAAAAGGGTGTACGACAGGGATGCGTCCTCTCGCCGCTCCTGTTCAATATATACTCTGAACAAATCTTCAGAGAAGCACTGGGAGAAGTTTCGGAGGATATTAAAGTGAACGGAGAGGTAATCAATAATATTAGATATGCTGACGACACAGTTATTATCGCAAATGACTGCAACGAGCTTCAAAGACTCATGCAAAGCATACACACAGCAAGTCAAGAATATGGTTCAGAACTCAATACAACCAAAACTAAATGCATGCTCATCAGCAGAACACAACAACCTCCGATGCAATTGACATTAAACAACCGAAAAATAGAACAAGTGGAGACATACACATACCTTGGAACCACAGTCAACACAAAATGGGACCAGTCAACAGAAATAAGATCACGAATTGAAAAAGCGCGAAACGCGTTCAACAATATGAAAAAGTGGTTCACAAGCAAAATCTCAATGGAACTAAAATTAAGACTGGTCAAGTGTTATGTCTTCCCGGTCTTGTTCTATGGAGCAGAGGCATGGACCACAACGGAAGCCACCCTGAAGAAACTAGAATCCTTTGAGCTGTGGATATATCGCCGTATTCTTCGGATATCCTGGACAGACCACATCACTAACGTGGAAGTAATGCAGAGAATAGGCAAAAGCAAAGAAATAATCTTCACCGTAAAGAAACGGAAGCTTGAGTACTTCGGACTTGTCATGAGGCATACTAAGTACCGGCTGCTACAGTTAATAGTCCAAGGAAGAATCGACAGTAGGAGGGGACCGGGAAGAAGACGACACTCATGGATGCATAACCCATAACCAAAATATTCCGAAATCTTTATTTTATTGTTATTTCACATTTTACAAATGTCAGATCAAAACGTCAAATCTACCTCATATTCTTCTTCTTGCCGAGAATACCAGTCGATGAATTGTTGTATGTGCGATGCAGCTTCTTTGCATCCCCAGCATTGTCGACTGTGTGTTTTAAATTGTATGCTTTCCAGTATTCTGGCAAAGAATATTCCTCTTCCATAACTAGGTTTTGAATAGAATAAATTTTTTTTTCTGAATAGAATAAATCTTCTTTTGAATGTATTAATGACCGATTGATCCATTGGCTGTATCAATGATGTTGTAGTTAAAATTTCAGATTTTATTATATCCTTGTACAAGAATAGATGGACTTACTTAAAAATAAATGAGAAACTTTTAGCGCCAAGGCTAACGTATATAGGTATACCACAGGGTAGTATTTTAAGTCCACTGCTCTTTTCATTGTACAATATAGATCTAGAACAGATTCAATTTAGTAATTTTTTTAACAGCAAAAACATTTCTTTTCGTAACTACTCTCAATTGTACACTTATGTTTTAGTCGAAATATTATAAAATTTAGACCATTAATTTATATGATTAATTCCGTTAAAAGTATTTCTTTTTTGAGTGTATAACTAAAATTGTATATACCTAAAAAGCAGGTGTATAGATTATTACATTTATTTTTCATGTACGTACACCTGACGCTTGATTAAAAATTAATTTTAATCAACAAGCAAGACTCCAATGAAACCGTATGTCAAAATCAATTACTCCTTTATAGGTAATCTTGGCAAAATGTTGCTTTATTTCTCATTGTATGTGATATTACAATATGCAACAGTTTCGGCTTCAGAAAATATAGACAAAAGAGCGCTGCAGAAATCTCACGAAAAATCTCAACAAGAAAAATGGGCAGATGCGTTTTTAAACAGAAACCAGTTGGAACGACAGCTGGATCTTGTAATGCTTTTAAAACAGATCACTGTCGACTACCTCTCGGATTGCACACCGATTATTCTGTTTGATACATTCACGGAAAAAAAGGACAATTTACTACTAGAAAAACTCTTAACAAGTTTTCCTATAGCTTACATGCACGGTCAAATTACAGATAACTATGAAGTCAATTTATTCACAAACATTGACGGTATGCAGCCTACTTGTTTAAGCTACTTGCTGTTCATGAAAGATGTCATGAAATCCAAGGAAGTAATTGGAGAACAAAACAATGCTAAAGTAATTGTTGTCGCAAGATCTTCGCAATGGAGGGTATTTGAGTTTTTGTCTCACGAGGAGTCTAGGTATTTTGTAAATCTACTTGTTATTGTACAGTCCGAAAGAATTATGGCGGCCAACGAGGTAAGTTGGTCTTTGTTGGCTATTCTATTTTCTTTTTTTTAATTGTGCAATGTCAGGAACATTCAATCCTAGCTGACTAACAATAATTCATTCTGTAAAAAGTTAACTTTTTGTCTCCAACCAGGATGTAATACATTTAACCAATTCCTGCCCAACAGAGGAGTAAAATTATGATTAATTTCTAAAATGACAATAGGTAATTTTACAAGATTGTTTTTATATTTTACTAATATGTACATCAGCTTCTTTAATAATTTTTACTTCTTGGCCGTTTAATACTTTTATTTGGTTAATTTGGTTTTCGGACTGCAGTGGGCACGAGAGAGGCTCTCTTTAGTATACAAGTGCTATTTCAACGATGTAGAGACGTGAACTGCGACATTTATGCGTGCTTCATTGACTACCATAAAGCGTTCGATACAGTAAAGCACGACAAGCTGATGGAGATATTAACCAATATTGGAATAAACACCTGTGATTTAAGAATTATCAGCAATCTGTACTGGAATCAAACATCATCTATCCGGACAGAGGCAGGAGAATCCGACGATATCAAAATCAAACGTGGCGTCCGTCAGGGATGTATACTATCACCACTGCTGTTTAATATATACTCTGAGGAAATCTTTCAAGAAGCAGTGGGTGATATTGAAGCCGGAATTCGAATCAACAGAGAATCTATCAATAACATTAGATACGCGGACGACATGGTAGTGTTCGCTGACAGCTCTGAAACCCTCCAGGAGTTAATGAACAGAATCACAGAGGTCAGTCAGAGATACGGACTTTCACTAAACAATAAGAAAACAAAATGCGTGATGATCTCTAAGAAGGAACAGCAATTTGGACAAATCAGTGTAAACGGTCAACAAATAGAAAGAGTAAAAACATACACCTACCTTGGTACGAACGTCAATGAAAATTGGGACCATTCCATAGAAATCAAATGTAGAATAGAGAAAGGAAGATCTGCATTTCAAAAAATGGCTAAGTTATTCAAATGTCATGATTTATCAATGCCCATAAAAATCAAGTTACTACGATGTTACATTTTTCCTGTACTGTTGTACGGAGTTGAGTCATGGACTCTCACAGACGCTACCTGCAAGAAAATTGAGGCTTTTGAAATGTGGCTTTATCGTCGCATCCTGAAGATATCGTATACCGACCACGTTACTAATGAGGGTGTTCTGTTGAGAATGAAAAAAGAAAAAGAGCTGTTAACCACAATAAAAACAGCCAAAATCGAATACCTCGGTCACATGAGGAACAGCGAAAGATATGGACTGCTACAATTAATCTTGCAGGGAAAAGTAGAAGGAAAACGGGGACCAGGAAGGCGAAGGATTTCCTGGCTGAAAAATCTAAGAACGTGGTTCAACACAACAACCACAAATCTTTTTAGAGCAGCAGTGTGCAAAGTGCAGATTGCCATGATGGTCGCCAACATCTAAAACGGATAGGCACTACAAGAAGAAACAATACTAAACAGAATAAAAATACTTAAATCTGATAAAAACTTCTTAAAATCTTGTATATTAATTACTGTACGCCATGCACCAGTATCATTGTCAAATAAAATTGAGTTACCTTCCACCTCTAACACTATTTCTCTGGAGCTGAATTTTTAGCTTCTAATGAAGACAAGAGTCCCAGAAATAATGAATTTTCTCACTTCATGTTGTATATCCTCTTTTTCTAACAACATAACATTTGAACGACAGATAGTACTTGTATGTTCTTTCTTACAACTGAAACATTGCCATGCTTTGGCTGCACATTTTGATGAATCATGTTTTCTACCACATCTAAAGCATGACTTATATTGGACGTAACTTCTACCAAGTTGATGACCACCATCATTTTTCCTTCTTTCTGAACATTACTTTAACTAATTGTTCTTCTGTAGCTTGACCTTCTGTATCGACATTGCTATCTCATAAGCTCTTTCAATATCGTCTTCTGTCAGGAATTTACGTTTTATTATGACTTTTTAACTCCTTAAAAGTTTTTGAACATGGTAGTTCTGGCGCTAATAAGTCTTTTAAGAATCTGTAAACTTCTCTACCAATTAGGGTAATCAATAAAGGAACCTCCTTGTCTTCTTCCACTTCTTCTTCTTTAAGTACCATCTCCGCGACGAAGGTTGGCAATCATCGTGGCTATTCTGACCTTCGAGGCAGCTGCTTTGAACAATTGCCTTGAGCTGTAACCAAACCACTCTCTCAGGTTCTTCAACCATGAAACGCGTCTTCTTCCTACGCTTCTCCTACCCTGTATTTTTCCTTGAATTATGAGTCTCAAGAGGTTGTATCTTTCGCCTCTCATCACATGTCCGAGATATTGCAATTTCCTTTCTTTTATTGTATTTTCCATTTCCCTCTATCTGCCTATTCTCCTTAACACTTCTGTATTCGTGACTCTATATACCCATGGAATCCTTAACAATCTTCTAAATGTACACATTTCAAACGCGTTAAGTTCATTTATTGTATTTCGGTTTAATGTCCATGATTTAGTTCCATAGTAGGAGCCTTTATTCTGAGGGCCAATGTTAGATCTTTGCTACATAAAATCTTTTTCATTTTCACGAAATTGGCACGTAACAACACCCTATGTACTTTTATCTTTAGAAAGTTATATTATTTTTGTACTTTATTAATTTCTTTTCAACAGGAAGCTCCATATATATTATATACACATAAGCTTTACATAGATGCCCTTGGTTCCAGCAAACCAATCGTCCTGTCAAGTTTTCAAGATGGAAATTTAACAAGATCGGTGGATTTGTTTCCTAAAAAGTTTAGTGATGGGTTTTCAGGGCATAGATTCATTGTAGCAATGTCTAACCAACCTCCGTTTGTGATTTTCAAGTAAGTTTGAAATGGAAATTAAATTCTAAATATTGTTATATATAATTTACAATAATCTTAGGCAAACTTTAGACGATGATTTGTTTTATATATAGATACCTTCATATGGAATAGACATCATATTCGCTTCGTGAAATACAATTTCTACATGTTATTAAACTAAATGTTTCTAAGGATAACGTGACTAGTAGAAAAGTAATAAAAATTTAAGACAAAGTGTATATTAAAACAATTAGATCGAACTAACACTGTGGTTTTCCGTTTTCCGGATTCTTGACAGAACAATTAACAAAATTAATTAATAAAATTACACATTAAAATACCGGAAGAATGGAGAACGAGCGAACTAATTCTAGTATTCAAGAAATGAGATAAACAATAACCAGAAAACTTATATCTATAGGTAGGAGAAGTGGGGGCCCATTGATACAGTTTTTTTTCTACTACTAATTTTTCCGGAATTTAATGAGTATAAAATGTAATTTTTCGTAGAATGCAGTAATAACTAACTTATTTTTAATAAAACATCTCTAAAATAGAAATGTTAACAAAAAAAATATTTGTGTAATACTTAAATGTAGTCAATTCATCAAAGTGCCCTACATATGGAGTACAATAATTCAACTCATGAGGTAGTTTTGTACAGCAAGGGGTACATTAATACACTGTTATAAATAAATAAAAAATTTTATTTTTTACATTTATTTACAAAGAAAACAAATTTTATTAAAGTAGTAACACACTATTTTACTGAATGTTGTACGAAGCGAGAGTTATGGGAAATCTGCAGAGTGAAGCTGTTTGATTCGTCCCTGCAGTAACATTAGGCATCGATAATTTTAGACAAACGTCTGAAAAATTGACTGAAGCTTCATCTTTCACATCAGGAAAAGTAAAAGTCCACGATCCCGGTTTCTTCCTTAGATAAGATATATGATACTCCAAGCTATCATGTTTGGCCAAGACTTTGCCCACATGACCAGACACAGAAAGTAACCAGCTCACCCCTCTCAGCAGAAACGATTTGTCCGACTTGTTTTTGTGTTCTCTCGGCTAAAATTTTGGGCGTCGTCATTACAGTGGTAATACCAGTTTCGTCAATATTAATTATGCGATCTGGTGTGAATGAGTATTTAGTAAGGACACACTCATAATTTTTACAGAATTCTGCAACTGTTTAAAACTTGTAATGATGTGCGATGCCAGAAGAAGCTGTGTTCTGCTGTGTAATATATAAGAGCAGCGAGATCTGCAGAAAGGTTCAATTCCTACCCAGTATGTTTTAAAGCTAACTGAGAAAATTCAGGGTACCAATCGCAATATCACCATGGATAACTGGTTTTTGTCTTGTGAATTAGCCGAAAAATTATTAGAAATGGGTTTAACAATGGTTGGAACGCTTAGAAAAAATAGGAGGGAAGTACCTACAAAATATTTGGAAATCAAGCGATCAGAAATTCCGTCCTCAGCATTTGCATTTACGCAAAAGTTGACACTAGTATCACATGATCCAAAATGAAACAAATGCAAAGTTGATGTAATTACCAAAAAACAACACCAATGGGGGCGTCGATATCTTCGATCAACTGTGTCATGCAAAAACCGTTGCCAGGAAAACAAGAAGATGGTCACTGAGAGGTTTTTATGGAATGTTAGTGTCAAAGGGTCAAAACTATTTGTCAGTCTTGGTATTTTAATTCGTAAATCATATCATATGCAGGAGACATAACATGCCTTTAATCCCCATAACGCGCTGATGGTTAACTTTTTCATAAACTAGTACTTTCAGTAACTTTCAATATAAATATATCTGACACTATATCTACATATTTGTTGCAGAGGAGGAAGGAGTGCTGATGGAGAAAAGATCTTTGAAGGAATTGAGGTTAGGTTGGTTAATTTGTTGTCCAAGTTGTATAATTTTACTACTGACTATAGAGAGGCAACAGAAGATTCCGACGTGGGGTAAGTATTCATAATTTTGTCAACTAGGTACTTTAAAAGGATAATTACTAAGACAGTAAATACAGAAAGAAAAGGAAGGCCAAACGAGTCTTATACTTATGGTGGATATTATACGCCGAAAAAGAATAACAATATTAACAATCGACAAATTTTCGACACGTTTTTAGGTTAGGATGTTAGATGATGAAGCTTCGAAATACTCATTCAATTATCTTTTATGTCACAGTGTGGAAATGTCTGCTAGGCCAATATAATCCACAATTTACGATCACCTGTTTAAAAAAATAGGAGAACCCTAATAATTATACGTTCTTCTCATAGAAAGTGCAGAAATCATTTTACAATAAGGCAAAGCCGTAGGACCTGGTGAGATACATGTCAAAACTCTAAAGTTACTGGCACGCGAAGACAGTTTGGGGTTAACCGTGTTAACAGATTTGTTTAACACCATCTACATAACTGAAAAAATACCTTCATGACCTTCATGATTACCGCATGACAAGCTTGATGTCCACCGTATTACAAACGTTCTTGTCAGTCATACACACCCGTTTATATAAGAAGTGCGAGCAGCAAGTGGACGATACCCGATTAGGCTTGAGAAACGCACTAAGAACTAGTGAGGTTCTATTCTCATTTAATATACTTTCACAGAGAGCTCATGACATGAATATGGAAAAATACGCCTACTTTATAGACTATCGCAAAGATTTTAATTTCGTTCAGCATTAGAAACTAGGAGAAATAATCAGAGCAACTGGTATAGATGAGGGTGACTTACGAATCATCACAGAACTGTATTGGCATCAGATAACTCAAGTGAGGGTGGAGAGCAACATGTCGGAGGAAATAGATAAGTTTTTAACAGAAAAATAAGGAACTGGCTAAAGGTGAAAGAGCGTAAACTAACGTACATTTGGCATATAATGAGGAAAGATAGATACGGAAAAAGTCAACAGGAAAAAGACACATTTCTTGGCTTCAGAACCTGCGAAGTTGGCTCGGCAAAACATTGACCAGGATCTTCAGAGCTGCTGTTATATCCATAGCTATAGCTAATTAGATTGAGACGGCGCAGTAAGAAGAATTCCAGCCAGAATTGATCGCCTTAGAGACCCAGAGGCCAATAAACACATACATTCGTTATATACCTAGCATTATCATCATCATCTTCATCACTACATTTTTATTGAATTTATAAGATTTTTCTTCTATCTCACTGGTCTCAGATAGTATTTGCCAAATAACCATGCTTTTTTATTTTTGCTTTATTTTTTTTTCTGTACAAAAATAGATATCCTCTATTATATTTTAGGTCTTCAGAAGCAGTAACTAGAACGATAATGAGGAAAAAAGCAAATATTGGAATAGGTGGAATTTATGTCACACCGGATAAACTTGACAGAATGGGTTTGACTAGATGGCATACACGGGACTGCGCTGCATTTATTTCTCTCGCATCAACAGCTCTACCGAGGTCTAGCTTTTATATTTAAAATGTTATGTTAGAGAGCTTTAGATTTCTTGTACCAATGTTTGAGAGCTGAGTTTGAACATATCATAAAGAGATAAGGTTAGGTTAGGTTAGGTTAGGTTGGGGTCATGACACTATAACAACTGTTTTGTTATAGTATCATGGGTTAGGGTTGAAGAACATTTGTGTCCTGTCTTGACGTATCTACTAAATGTACCTATCTAATTTAACCTTCCACGGCTGGCGCATATAATCTTGACACTGGGGCTGGCGCGCGGAGGATTTGTCCGCATATATTTTTGTCAAACCTTTTGGCTTAAATTTGTTCTACTATCTTCGGAAATGATTTAAGTAGATGTTAATCAACTATTTGAAAATGATAAAATATAGCTTGAGCATTTATTCTGAGTAAAATGTTATAAAATTTCAAAGTATGTAATATCGGGAATACATTCTAAAAAAAATTATTAAAAATCAAAACAACTGATTAAAATATAAAAGTTTTAATGTTTGTTAAGAAAATACATATATATGTTTTAAATCTATTCAAAAAAATTATCCTCAACACAATTTGGGCAAGTATAGACAGTGTGTTCACCACACATAAATTTTCCACATTGTTTGCATTTGCGACTGGTAGGTCTGTTTTTTATTCTGTCACAAAAGTCACATCTGCCTCTACTACGTTCTGGAATATGTTAAGGGTGATTTACAGGATCTACCTTAGTGATTTCTTTTATTCTCGCTGACATGATACGTGGCAAATTGGCTTGACAAGCACGAACGTTAAGCTGCGGTTCAATCAGAGCGAATGCTAAATTGTGCAAAAACTGTTTTCGTGGTAAACGAATCTCGTTATTATTACAATAAAAAAGGACCATTGAGTTTATACCAGCTACATTTAGCATGGAATAAAAAATTACCATTGGCCATCGTCGAGATTTCCTAGCGCAGTCATAGGCAGCAAATTACTTGTCTACTGTGTCAACTCCTCCCTTTGTAGAATTGTAGTCAAGAATCATTTTGGGTTTCATGGAATCCTCATCAATTGTATCGTCATGATGTAAACTAGACAGGAGGAGTACGTTTTTGTTTCTTTTTGGTATATAGGACACCAAAGTAATATCATCATAAAAAGCAAACATGCTGGATCGAATAGGTCTGCTTATAGGTTTAGAAAATTCATGGGGTAATTCCTTCTTATTCTTGCGACGTTCCTAAAAATGTAAGTTTGTAATCACGAAGCAAGGTTTGGACTATTGGTATGCTTAAAAACCAATTGTCCGCAGTAATGTTCCGTTTTGTTCCTCTTAGAGGCTCACATAATCTCTTTACAACTTCCGATGGAGAATTACTTACAACAAAAGGACCTGGTAGTTGTTGCCCCAAATATGGCTCCAAATTGCAGGCATAAAAGGTCTTGGAATCTGCTAGCGCAAAAATTTTTAATCCATATTTATTTGGTTTATTAGGTATATACTGTTTAAAACTGCATCGACCTCTAAATGCCTCCAATTTTTCATCTATTGTAACGTATTCAAACGGCGTATAACCGTTTTTGCAATTAAAAGAAAACATTTTAAAAATCTCTCGTATGGGACAAAATTTATCTAATAGTTTTCTTTCCTCACGTGAATCTATTTCATCAAACCTTAGGTGTTGTAGTAAAAATTTAAATCGGTACCTGGACATTGTTAGTCGAAACATCTCAATTCCGTACCGTCTTTATTCCAAAGTTCGTCTGTGCTTAACCTGCCACTTTTCAAAACACCTGCCAAATAGAGTAAACCAATAAAAGCACGAATTTCTAAAGCATCTATTTCCTTTCCGTTTCTCTCGCGATTATAGTTTTCTTGGGAATGTCTAATATGTTTGTTTGTACATTCAACAATAATGTTTATCATGGTATCGTTAAAAAAATATTTCCAAATATCTAGTTCACCTTTTAAATTCTTGGTAACTTCTTTAGCACCTGGCAAATGCGTTAAATCAATTATCATTTGTGGGAGGTACATGGGCGGACCAGAAAAAGGGGTGGGTAGTTTTTGAAATATTGAGAAGTTTAGATCGGTGCGGAGATTTTGTCCGCGCGCCAGCCGTGGAAGGTTAATTATCTTGCGGATGCCAGTTATTTTTCAATTAGATCAATTTACTACATTTACTGAGAATAAGCCACAATTTTACTTTAAAATAAGCTTATTTTGACGTTTGGATTTCCACTTCGAAAATCGTTCTCAAAATACAAATTTTACCAGATGGCGTACCTATCTATCAACTTTTAACAAAATATGGACTTAAGGGTAAATTTCTCATTTGCCAGTACCTTATGCCTTACAAGAAATACAAGCAAAGAAATCAAAGAAAAGAAGGAAACGAAATTGGACAAAAAAGAGAAAAAATGATTAAATAAATGAGAGCAGTGAGTGCAGACCAAAAAACTGGAAGAAACGGTTTCAAGTTTCATCGTCCCCCTAGCTTTACAACTCTGTGTCGGTCCTAGCCTACTCAAAATTTATCTCCAGTCGTTCCTATTCATCGTCTTTCTGCGCCAATCACGTATTCGCATACTGTACCTTGTTCTGAACCTTCCCCTTCCAATAGGTCTATTAAGGAGCGTTTCTCTAGCTGGGTAGTTTATTCCATCTGCAATACATGCCTTTCCCACCTTAGATGTCCTATTTGAACGTAGTTTACCATTGGTTCCTGGTATCTTCTCCACATTCATTTGTCATTCACCGCTCTATAGATTCGCCTTAGTGCTTTTCCGAAAACTGTATGCTCCACCGTCTGTCTTTCCATAAATACAACTCCTCTGTTATTAGAACAGACATAATGAGAACTGAGGTGTCGAACGAGAACTTATAATCTAAAGATGGTATTAAAGGTGAGAAATTTGACCAAAAACTTACGGTTCCAGAGTTGTAACCGCAAGAATTGTTTTAAAGTGGACAACATTTTACAAGCGATGTATTATTCAACGCACCTGAGTAAGACGAGAACAAATACATACTTCCGATTTTTATATCACTTTCAGTTAAAAAGTTATGACAACTCAAAGTTACATGGAGAGTTCTACTATCGACTTTCGGTCATGTTTGATGAAAACGTAAGTCTTACGAAGTCCAATTGCTTAAATTTTAAGAATGACTTCCATGGTGAAAATCCAAATGCCAAATATAACGTATTTTCAATAAAACTTGTTGTTAATTCCCAATAAATATAGTAAGTAGCAATGAAATGTATCTCCAAATATATTTTTAGATATCGAGCTATTTTAGGACCTTTTAACTGGACGGTCTGGTTAGCCTGATCTTCATATATTTAGGCGGAATCTTCCCTCTGGCATTCTCAGATAAACTTACACTTCGACATTTAATTAAAAATCCAGAAGAAATGGAAAATATGTTCTGGTATGTCTTTGGAACATTTACCAATTGCTTCACATTTTCCGGCAAAGGATCCTGGAGCAAAGCTGATAAAGTGACCACGAAACTCTTGATAGGTAAAATTGCTTAATCAAGAAATAACATTTATATAAACTTTCTAATATTTGTAGGATTTTACTGGATATTTACTATAATAATAACATCCTGTTATACTGGTTCCATAATTGCATTCGTAACTTTGCCAGTATTTCCATCAGTTGTGGATACTGCCCGTCAGTTGTTAAGTGGATGGTACCAAATAGGAGTGCTGGGTAAGTAAAATAGCCTCCATATGTGCCTGGAAGTAAACATATAACCAATTATTTTAGACAAAGGAGAATGGCAGTATTTATTTCTGAATTCCAGTGATGATGTGTCTGCAAAATTACTTAAAAGTCTTGATTTGGTTCCCACAATTGAAGAAGGGTTAAAAAACACGACGAGGTATTCTCTGTGGAAGTATGCTTTTCTGGGATCAAGGGCACAGTTGGATTATATCGTCAGAACTAATATGAGTACAAGGTAGGTTTTTCTCGCAGTTTATTTTTTTTTCGTATAATACATTTAAAATATACACTGATGGTTTTTTTTATTCTGTCTGATACAAAATTGGTTCAAAATTTAGAACGTAATAAGCAATGTAATAAGTTACAATTCGAAGGACCACCTACTAACGTTGGAATAAAAGAATGCAAGCATTAACAGAATACAAGATCTGAACTATATAAAATACGCGAGAATTTTTACTCTAAACTAAAAGTGTCCAGACCTCGCTCGATTCAAGTCGATACTAATAAACGCAGCGTCCACTCTGGTAGATATGGTATGCCCATTCCTTCGCACTTTCTCCTCCGTGGTTTGAGTGTCTTTTCCAAGAATATTTTAAACAGAGTAGGGGACGTAGCACAGCCTTGTATAAGTCCTTTTGTCGTCTTAAATGGATTGTAGGCTTTATTTCCACATTTAATAGCTACTTTGTTTTCTTTGTACAGTGCTTTGACTGCTTTTATTAGTGTTTGTCGGATTCCGAGATCATTCATTGCTTCCCATAATTTGACTCTAGGTATTGAGTCGTATGCTTTCTTTAGATCAACAAACGCCAGATGGACCGGTCTACCTTTTGCCATTTTCTTCTCTATCAGTTGTTCTAATGTGTACGTATGATCTAGTCATGATTTTCCTACTGTGAACCCTGCTTGGTCTTCTCCAATTTTTCCTATTATTTCAGTTTCTAGTTTTCCTTGATAATTTTCCCGTAAAGTCTACCTACCGACGATATTATACTAATTCCTCTGTAGTTTTCACATGTTTTCCTGTTTCCTTTCTTATGTATTGATGTGATGTATGCTTGTGTCCATTCCGCAGGTATTTCCTCTCCATTTAGTCCTCTTTCGACTGTGTAGCATGCGGAATAACTTTTCCGTTCCGTTTTTAATTAGTTCGTTTGGTATCCCTCCGGGTCCTTTGGCTTTTTTGTTCTTCAATGTCTTGATTGCTCTCTTGACTTCTATCAGACTTATTTCTATCTGGTCCTATGTCCCATTTCCTGCATTCAATTCAATTACAGTATTAAAAGGGATCAGATGTGGAATGCAATGGCAGAACTTTCAGTTCCAAAAAAACTTATCCAGCTTGTTAAGATATCTGTGAATAGCTGTAGATCCAGAGTACTGATAGGTGACAAACTCTTAGAATCTTTCGAAATAAGCAGTGACCTGAGACAAGCAGATGCGCTGTCACCTCTCCTTTTTAATATCATCCTGGAGAAAGTGGTAAGAGCAGCACAACTTAAAACAGAATTACTGATAGTAAATGGACCAATATTACTACTAGCATACGCAGATGACATTGGAATTGTGGGAAACAGTCACCAATGTGAAGGAGACTTTTATTAACTTTGAGGTAGAGGCAAAAAAACTGGTTTAAGGGTAAACGAAGAGAAAACCAAATACATGTGCTTCAATAGACAAAAGGGACGAGATAGAATAGGGCAAAATGTTACAATAGACCCATATAACTTTGAAAGAGTGGAGAGTTTTAAATATCTCGGAGCAACAATCACTGCAGATAACGATATAGCGGAAGAGATTAAAGGAAGAATTCAGGCAGCAAACAAAAGTCGATGGGTATATCTAATTCAAACTTAACTGTATTTGTCAACGTATCCTTTCTAATATTCCATCTAAGTAGATTATTTCCCACCACGCATGCCTAGATAAGTAGTAATGTATTCTAATAAACATTTTAGGAGCAAACGATCCGTGTTGCATATAAGTAAAGAATGTTTTGTGCCATTTAGCGTCTCTCTGGCTTATCCCTTAAAAGCTGTTTATGGAGATGTATTGAGCAACGGAATTGAATTGATTAAAGAATCAGGTATCATGAATAAAATAAAAAATGACGTAGAATGGGAGATGATGAGAAGCGCTACAGGAAAATTACTGGCTGTAAGTAGATAATTGTCTTAGATGTAGTTGTTTCACAAAGTTTGATTGATATTTACAACAATAATAGATATGAGATGCTGCCTCATTTGCATTTGAGTTATGTGGAATCGCACTCTGGCTAATATTCACGTGGTGCCACTGAATTACCGTTTCAAACACGTGAGCACTACGTGTATTGCCGTTATATTTATATGTCGTTAAATAAAACCAGGTTTTTTCCTTGGGAAAAATGCAGCATATTCCAGTTTGTTGGTCTGAGTAATTATTAAACTAATTTTATTCTTTTAGGCTAGTGCTGGTGGAGGATTAAAAGCTCTAAGTTATGAAGATAAAGCTTTAAGTTTGGAGGACACGCAAGGAATGTTCCTACTCCTTGGCATCGGCTTTGTTATGGCGGGAGTCGCCTTGGTGTTTGAATGGTTTGGTGGTTGCTATAAGATATGTCAACGGAAAAACAGACGCGGTAGCGATGAGTCCATCGAAAGCAATCCCAGGACTCATGAAAGACAAACCAATAGAGTTAAATTTAATTTCCAAGAACACTATTCCAAGATTAAGAGATCCTTTGAAGATTATACTCATGACAAAGATACAAATGATGGTAGGGATGTTAGTAACGAAAATTCAGAAATGAAAAGTGACGTAAAAAATGTAGATTCTGAATTTTGCGTGAAGGACAACCAAATTGATAATATAATCGATGAAATTTTTGATAATGCACTTAAGGAGGCAAATACTGAGAGACGAGGATCTAAATAAGAGATAAGAGATAAAAAAACACTTAATAATACAAATTGTAAAATACATTCTACATTTTTATTGTTTCGACTTTCAGATCGGAAGTAAATAATTAATTTTACAAGATGTGCTTTATTCTCAAAATATATGTAAAAAACACTAAAATATCGTGAATAAACTGTTTTAAAACAATATTTATTAGATATTTTTAATATTTAATTCAATAAAATGCATCTGTATATGTACCTACTCTATTCTTTGTTTTTTTATGGTGGTTAATCAACTTTGATAAAGATCTTTTTATTGGCAATAAATATTGGTTCTGTGACAACTAATGATCATAAAATGTACCTCTTAGTACGATATTATTTCTTCACGCCATTAAGTTGCAATTTTATTCTATGATTTCTGTAACTCTGCAGGTATCTCCCACATTTTTTAAAGATTGATGAAATAAATAGTCAATAAAAGTCCAAAATAATTTTTTTTTAATATACATAGATATATTTTCAATCAATGTTGCTTTTCCAGCCCGCTAGACCTTCGTTATTTTCTCTGGATCCTTTAATCTCAAAAGAAAATAGTGGATATGGGACTCATGTATACAAAAAACCCACATATGATATGAATATATATAAATTCTAAATCAAATCACAACATAAATGTTAAAAAGGGAGTCATTAAATCATTATAGGATAGAGCTAAAATTGTCTGTTCTAATGAAAATTCGTTTTGGTAGAAAAATAATTATTAACATCTATTTTAGTAAAAAAAAGATTTTCTGATGTCGTTCATAAGTAAGGAATTTTCCAGAATAAAGGAAATGGAACAAAATAACAGAATGTAATTCTGCTACAATTCACACGACAAAATTCGAGGAAAATAACAATACCATATACATTATAAAAGAATTATAGAAAAACTTCATTCGACGTCATGTCTGTCAGTAATTTCCCCGATTCAAATTCATAATAGGCAACCTACATTACGCGGCTCAGAGTAGTGGTTCAGGTTTAGACAATAGTTGTTTACTACAACTCTGTGATAAGGACAAAAAAAAAGAAGAATAAAAACATAACCTATTAATAATGACATCTGAGTTTTTCAAAATATTTTTCACATTAGAATCAAAATAATATAAACCCCTAGAATCAAAGAATATAAACGAATATTAAAATGTTTAATGAAACAAAATAATGGCTTCTAAAAATATAGACGACTTTTGGAATAGTAGTTCAACATCAGGTTTTAACTTTGATGAAGAGGATGAGGTATAGATGTAGTACAAAATTAATATTTATCTGATTTTAACAATTGTTTTGTAGGAACTGCCGCAACCTGATTTTCAATTTCAAATGGTTGAACCTCAACCTAAAGTTAATTCTATTGAAATATATTCTTTAATTTCCAAAAAATCCTTAGATCTAAGTAAGTAAAATATTGTAAAACAACAACTTTGGTGGTTTTATTGTGTAAGCAACCTTTGTATATTAGTTTTAGATGATATTAAGTCTGCCAATGAGTATACAGTTCCACCAGTGGAAGAAGTGATTAGAAAAATGGCATCTGGACATAAATATTCACTGGATGTTTATAAACGGTTTTCTGATAAAATGTTATTGTTTAATTCTGCCCTAGAGTCTATGGATGGAAATATTATACTAAAAGTAAGTGTAGGGAATTAATTATTTTTGATGTGATCTGTGTATTTAGTTCTTCTGTAAATATTATTTCTTAATTTAATGCTTTTTATGTAGAATAGCAAAAGAGCCATAACATTCCTTGCTTTATTTGCTATGTTTCGTTTTTAGTCTTTCTATTCTTTTTTGTTCTAATTGAGTTGAAAAATGTACACATTCCAAAATGGCTGTATTAACTATCACAAGTAAATTAATAGTTATTGTAAAAATCATAATTGAAACATTTTCTATAACATATTTAGTTTTGCAGATAAACGGTTTTTTTTGTTCCTGAAAAATAGCCATTTTGCAATGTGTACATTTTTCAACTCACTGAATTAATTGAAGGGCTTGGGGGAAAAGGTAAACAAGCCACAAAAGTAGAAAATGGAGAAAACCTACTTTGAAACTTTCAATCAAATCCTTAAATCAGAGTTTTTATTGTAACACAACAATATTTTTTTAAATGAAGTTTTATTCTGAATATAAGCAATTTACAAACTAAAAAAAGCAATCAGAACTCTTAACTAAAAGGAAAAATATTTTTCTTGAGCAACCTGGCTTACTCCTTTTTTACAAAAACCTTATTGTAAGATTTTCTTATCTAAGACGATGTTTCTATTTTACTTGTCCAAGTCAAAAATGCTCTGTTTTCTGCGAGGTCTATTGACTGTCGTCGAATTCCCAGCTCAACGTAAAAGTCGTGATAAACTAAAGGAATATAAGACATGAGTCCCCTTAAATTTTTTAGCTTATTTTCGTTAAGAGGTATAGATGTGGTATATTTTGGAGGAAGATCTCTTAGATTTTTTATTTGATTTCCATCTTTTACTCCTCGCTTACCAATATTGAGTGATTTAAACTCTTCATTTAAACAAGCATTGTGTTGGGTTTATTTGCCTCAAATCTAAAACATCTAACTTGACTAAAACGTAAAGGTTCTTTTTCGTCTGTCTTCTGTTTTTTTTTTGAGGTTGAGATGTTAGATTTTTCAAGTTATTATAAAAGAATAAATGTGGATAAAGATACTTGTTATTATTTTTATATAAATGTATACCTAGATGTTCTTATTGCCGATATAATCTGCTCTATCTTTTTTTAGGTGATTCTGTTTTTGGAATCAACATTAAAACGTGATATATTTGTGAACCAATTAATAAAGAGTAAGACTGGGATAAAACATTATGCCAATTATTTGATTGTGAATAATAGGTATGAAGATCTGAATAGTTTTTATATGTAAGTATAAACATTGTACAAGAGTTTTCATATCTTATTATATATGCATATATATTTTTTTTAGTTCAACAGGTGTTTATTCCAATATGGTAAGTACTTTTATTTATGTCATATATTTTCCTAATTGAATATAAAAGTCCAGAAAGAAAAAATGCAAGTTCAAAAAGGCTAGATACTATCCCAAAAATATGTATTTATAGACTAGATGTTGTTGATAAACTGGTGACAAAAAACTGGTTAATTTATTTCAATCTTAGGATAAAAATAATTTTTGTCATAGGACTGTCAATCAACTGTAGGATTTAGACCAGAATATGACAGTTTTCTGCTCTGAATTATTTTTATATGTATGGATTTTCTTGAAATTTTGACAGTAGATAGAAACTAGCTCAAAGATCAAAATCTACCCTATGCTAATATGTGCTTCTTCTCTGGGGGTGATTACCACCCCAGCTTGGGGTTTCAAAAAGTTTATAAAAAGAATTAGAATAGTGAATTTGAATACAAAAATGTACTTTAGAGTTTTTTTTTTTCGAAAAGTCAATATTTTTGGAGTTATTCATGACTAAAAGTCCACTAATTACACATAAAAAAACATGCTTGTTCTGTATCACAAAAAATATAAGTGGACTTTATTTTAGTTATAATTTAACTTAATTTTTGTGCAAATCACTTTACCCAGTGGTCATTTTAAAGGTTTTTATATTTATTTGACGAAAGTGTAACAAAATGCTAAATATACAATATACAGATCCTGAGCGAAGGTTAGTGGGTCAAATTAGAAAAAAATACATACGACAAGCCCAAATTGGGTTAGCAACCCTCTCCCCCCCCATAGGAAAATCATATAATCTCATAGGATAGATTTTGATCTTGAGCTATTTTTTAACTACTGTCAAAATTTCAACTAAATCGATACATATAAAAAAAATACAGACTATTTTACTGTCATAACCTGGATTAATTACTTACCAATGAATTTAGATTTAAAGTTTTTGTTGCAGCTAATCTTTTTGATGATCTATTATATAGTATTTACTGTTTTAGAAACAACTTTATTACTTAATGGCACGTGGTGTTAAGAATAAGACGATTATACTTGATCGTTTACGTACTTTAGGCATGGATCTTCTGCAGAAAATGTATCATAAAGATGATAGCGCAGAATATAATCCATATATAAAACTATTACGTAGGTATATTGTTAATATATTATAACAAATACAAAATATATATACAAAAACATTTATTTGTCTATCTTGGAATCAATTGGTGCCACACTTATACTTTCTTTAATTCATTAATTCTTACTTTTGTCCTTTTTTGCCTCATGTATCTGTTTATTTCATTCAAATAATATATTTGTACCCTTTTCCTCCACTAGTATTTTATTATTTTTCTCCCAGATACATATAATAATCTGATGAATATCTTATTTTCAGAATGGCAAATTCAAAAAAATGAAAATTGTGACTCTGTTATAGAACAGTTAGCAGTTTTATGTAAAAAAGAGTGGGATGTAAATAAAAATGCCTTAGAGGTTATTTTGGAATTTAAAAAAACACTGAAGATTGACGACTTTGCTTTTGAGTGGACTGTAATGAATGTTTTGGCATCCAAGAAGATGTGGCCTCAGCTAAACGATTTTTTTATGAAACCAGTAAGTATATTTAATTCTTATGTTGGTTTGTGTTGTTTTAGTTTTATTAAAGAATTACCTTCATAAAAGATTTTGTTTGTTTCAGAACTGGCTAACAAAAAAGCATTCTTTGAAAACAGCCATTCCGACTGAACTCTTTGTATATGGCTTAAGCAAACACGATCCCCCTAAAGATGTTTTGGAACAGTACTTACCATGGATAAATAATACTGAGAGAAGTCTGTTGTTGGCGGAGAAATTGAACTGTCATAAGTTTATCATTCAACATTATATTAATCAGAAAGATAGAATCGGACTTATAACTTACAAAGCTTCACTTATAGCTATCAAGTTACCGCCTCAAAATCCAGAATATTTTATGATTGAAAATGCATTGCAGTCCACCGTAAGTTAACTTTAATATTCTTTGTTTTAGCCCATAATACAGTTCTTAATATGGTCAGTGCTAGTATGTGCTTTTCTGTCTTTCTTCTTAATGGTTTTAGTTTGTCTTTTTCAGAATGTTCCATGTATTTTTTGAGTTTAATTTCTCTATGAATAGTTTCCAAATTTCCTTCTGCGCTTTCCTTATCAATTAGACCATGACCACAACCCATGGTTTGTCTTGGCCTGCTCAAGGATATTCTTCGCCTTGGTTTTTCAGTTTCATACTCCCAACATTCTCAAGTCTCCCTCCACCTGATCCTGGTGGCGGCTCCATCTCATTAATTCTCTACTCCATGATGCCCTCTCATGATGCTCAATGCCATCTGCTCCAGGAGCTGTTCTATTTGTAACGATTGATAATCTAGGTTTGAGTTCTTTCCTGTTCTGGTTAATCCTCTTGTAGAACTCTCGCGTTTCTGCTTGTGCCTTATAATTCTCTAGTTCTTTTAGTTGGCTCCCTATATGCTCTTTCTTCTTTTTTTTAAGTATTCGTTTTTCTTCTCGTCTCAGCTACCTATACTCTTCCTCTGTTTATCTCGTTCTTCGCACTTGGAGTCTTCTATATGCATCCACAAGGAATCTATGTTCCTGTAGTTGGCTGTATACCATATATTAAAAAATTTATTAAAAATCCTTTGTAACAGGTATATATATATATATATATATATAATATATATATATATATATATATATATATATATATATATATATATATATTTACCCATGTATTTAGTGGCTACATTCATGTACTCTTAGACACTGATGATGGAATATGGATTCCGAAAACGTTTTGTCTTTTTAACTTAGCCCATTTGGGTCTAAATATATACCTTTTACAAAGGATTTTAAATAAATTTCTTCTATATGCCTCATTTTTTCTTTGCGTTGCTTGTGCGCATTCTTCATCGTACCAGTCTGACCTTATTTTTTTACGTTTTTGCTTTCCGATGACGTCAGTTGACATTTCTTCCATTATGGCTTTATACTGCCTCCAATAGTTGTTATCTATTCTATCAATCTTCAACTATAACATCCGTGCAGCCTTTCAGCTTGCTTTCGAGAATTTCCTCGAATCTCCTAGCTATCTCAGGGTTCTTCAACGCTTCTACTTTAAACCTTTCCTCTTTAACTCATTTTTATTTCTTTGCATTGGAGATTCTAGCTCTTAGTTTAACTTGTAGAAGGTAATGGTCCGAGTCTACGTTCGCCCTGCGTCTTGTAGGTACGTCTATCACGTCGCTGAAGTGTCTTGTGTCAACCACAACATGGTCGATTTGGTTTACTGTATTTCTATCTGGACTTCTCCATGTTCCCATATGTGTATTTTTGTGCCTGAAGCATGTGCTGGCACTCATCATGTTCATTGAGGAGGCTAAGTGTATTAGTCGAGTTCCGTTGTTGTTTGACTCTTCATGTAAACTGTGAATTCCAATGGTTGGCATTTATTCCCTCTCCTTACCTATCTTTGCATTAAAATCTCCCTATTATGACCTTTACGTCATTTCTACTACAATGTTGTATAATATTTTCCAGTTGTTCATAAAATTGTTCTTTTTCTTCAAACGGCTTCTCCTCAGTTGTTGCATGGGCATTTATTATTGAACATTTATAGAATTTACCTCTGATTCTTAGAGTGCATAATATTTTCTTTGTCCTGCTCGATATACACGGTGTGCCAAATTTATTTGGAATCCATTTTGACCTTAAATGACACTGTCATTGTGATTGATGTTATAACTATTTGTGTACTTATCATTTCAATATTTTGTTATTGTATTTACTTACCATACGTTGTGGCAAGTGTTTTGTAGCTAATATGTAAATGCTAAATATCTTATAGACTATAGCGGAAACCATAATTATTAGAATGCAGTGCAGGAAGATAGCCAATGTATTTCTTACGCGAGAACGGCCGACCACGTTGCCAGTTTGCCCCGAGCGGCGCATCAGAACCAACAATTACCGTCAGTCAACTCTACTCGCTACTCTACCAAAAATAGCTTGATACCGTTCACACGAGGAGAGTTACAAATATAGTAGTGATGCTAGTATATTGTGGACTGGGTGTTGTTTAGTGCAAAATGTATTAAAGAAAAAGAAAATTGATTTACAATTGTTTAGCTACAGTTGCAAATACATTTGTAACTGAAGTCGCTGAAGCTATCGATGATGAGATAAACAAACAAAGAAAGGAGTGGATGAGAGAGTGGCTTAAAAGAAGGATTACATACGGGACCTCAGCTCTTCTGCTAAGAGAACTATCCTTAGAGGATGAGTTGGAATATAAGATGTGTCTAAGAATGATCCCAGGGAAATTAGAAGAATTTCTGAATATGGTGCATGACAAAATTGAACGACAAGTCACGTTTATGAGCGATGCAATCAAACCAAGAGTGAAGCTTGAGAGTATGTTGAATATTTTAGCTACAGGGAACAGCTATCGCAGCCTTTCTCATTTTTTCTTCAAGTGCCGTCTTCGTTCCGAAGTTTGGCTATCATCAAAGCTATGCGTATTTTTGATGCTGCAGATCTAAACAGTTGGTAATTGGTGCAATTGTACCATTCTCTCAAGTTTTTCAACCATGAATGCCTTCTTCTTCCTATAGATCTCTTTCCCATTATCTTTCCCTGTATAATCAATTGCAGCAACTGGTATTTATCTCCCCTCATAACATGTTCCAAATATTGTAGTTTGCGCTTTTTAACAGTAAGTATCAGCTCTTTCTCTTTCCGCACTCTCCGCAAAACCTCCACATTTGTTACTTTCTCTGTCCAGGGTATTCTTAATATTCTACGATACATCCACAACTCAAATGCTTCTATCTTTTTGGTATCGATCTTTTTCAATGTCCATGTTTCCATCCCGTAGAGGAGAACTGACATAACGTAACATCTCAAAAGGCGAATTTTAAGTTTTAGACTTAGATCTCTTCCGCAGAACACCATTTTCAATTTAGTAAATGTGGCTCTAGCTTTCTCTATTCTGGTTCTGATTTCTTCAGAGCAATCATTATTTTCGTTGATAACAGTTCCCAGGTAATTATATCTTCTTACACGTTCGATTCTTTGATCATGCACGGTTATGTCAGGGAAGTTTTGTGGTGATTTAGATATTAGCATTATTTTTGTTTTGCTTATGTTAAGTGATAATCCGTGTTCTTCACTGCATTCTACTATTTTGTTAATTAGTATTTGAAGATCTTCCCTAGTTTCTGCGATTAGTACCGTGTCATCGGCATATCTCAAGTTGTTTATTCGGATGCCATTTATCTTAATACCTATATTTTGATCCGAAAGTGCTGTGTTTATAATGTCTTCGGAGTATAGATTGAATAAGGTCGGTGAGAGTATACAACCCTGTCTTACGCCTTTCTTGATCTCGATTTCCTCCGTTGTCTCTTGCTCTATTCGGATATTTGCTTTCTGGTTATAGTAAATCCTAGAGATAATTCTAATGTCCCTTTTATCCAAGTTTTTTTCTACTAGCAGTTTCATTAAGTGATCGTGACGAACTTTATCAAACGCTTTGTTGTAATCAATAAAGCACATATATATATATATATATATATATATATATATATATATATATATATATCTTGGTTTATATCTAGACATCTTTGGCATATGACGTTAAGTGCAAATAGTGCTTCTCTTGTTCCAAGCCCGTTCCGAAATCCGAATTGAGTATTACTAATATCTGCATCTAGTTTTCTGTTAATTCTTGAGTGGATTACTTTGATGAATACTTTTAATGTATGCCCCATTAAGCTTATAGTGCGGTAGTCAGTGTTCATCGTCGAACAATTGTTCTACATAGTTTCTTCCAGGTTCTAAGCTTTTCTTGTAGATCGGCTATTATTTCACCATTTGCGTTGCATAGGAGATTGTGATGTTTTCGTTTTTGTGTACCTGTCAGTTCCTTTACCTTTTTATGTAAGTTAAAAGTGTCATGTTTGAGATGTAGTTCTTCGATTTCCTCGCATTTTCTTGTGTAAAAATTTTCCTTTGCAGTTCTTATTTCTTTTCTGATTTGTTTGTTTACTTCATTATATTTTTGGCTGCATTTTCCCTTTAACTGTCTTCGCTCTTCCATGAGACCTAAAATTTTTTCTGTTATCCATTCTCGTCCTTTTTTCTGTTTCTCTTTGGTAAGCATTTTCTGGGCAGGTTTTATAATGGCGTCTTTTAAATCTTGCCACTTGTCTTCTACATGCGTGTTCTCTGTCTTTGTAGAAAGCATTCGTAAGTTATCATTGATATGTTGTTTTAAATCTTCTTTAATTGTTGGATCTTGTAAGCGGCTGGTATCTATGTGATCTATTTTTGTTTTATTTGAAGGTCTTTTGTGAGTCTAATGTGTACCCGCGCTATCAGGGGGTTATGATCTGAAGAAACATCTGCGCCTGGATAAGCCTTAACTGATCTTATACAGTTTCTGTATCGCTCATTTATTAAAATATAATCTATCTGATTCCTAATTGTTTTTTCCCTAGTGTGTTGAGGGGACGTCCATGTGTACAGTCTTCGTTTGGGTAGCTTAAAGAATGTATTTGAAATTATCATATCATTCTCTTGACAGAACTCTAAAAGTTTGTCTCCTCTGTCGTTTCTTGCCCCTAAACCATATTCTCCCACATTTTTTCCGCTTTTTCCTTTGCCAATTTTGGAGTTGAAGTCTCCAAGGATAAGTGTAACATCTTTTGGCTTTGTAGACTTTAGAACTTGATTTATTTGTTCATAAAACTGCTCAATCTCTTCATCTGATTTATCTGCAGTAGGGGCATATACCTGTATAATATTAAGTTTTGCAGTTTTTGTATGCAGTTGTAGGAGCAAACTTTAGGGTTTCAAGATCTGTAATTTCAAAGTTGGTCCCCGAGGTGTGTGATGCCATCTCCACAGCTTGCCTCATAATTTTATTTCTGTAGTATACACTATCTAAATTCCATAAACATTGGTATTCGTCATACATCTCTACAAGTTTTAAAGTTTCATCTTCGGTGAACTTAATTTTCACTATTTACACAAAACAACTCCAGCCGGAATGACAGCATCCTTATGCACTCTCCTACCTACTCTACTCTACCAGAATTGACCGCGTTCCATGGGTAGAGTGCGCAGGCGAGTGGACATTTTGGCGGTGGTGGTGGTAGTACAGTAGAGTTACTTTGCCACATGTTGCTAGTCACTCTACTCTACCACCTACTATGCACTCTACTGCTCTGAGCGTTTTTACGGGTAGAGTTACCCTACTCTACCAAGTACTTGCATCATTACTCTACCCGTGTAAACGGGTCTTAACTATGGTTTCTACTATAGAGAGCCAAGCAAAAATTATGAAGTTATTAAGAGCGTAGGCGCAAAATTTCGGGCTAATGCTTTTTAAATACATTCATTTTTTTCGAATCCTCAGAAAACTAATAAATATTTTTGAAAAATTTAAACGCAGAATGAAAGATTAAATTATTACCGAGGGCCGAAAGTCCCTTAGAATAAACAAAAAGTTTTTTTAAATGAGATATTTGAAATTAAAAATCACACTAAATTTTGTCTTTTTTTTTCGCCCCTATAACTTATTAAAATAAACATTATAGAGAAGTGTTCATGGACTTTAGGCCCTAAAAAATGTTTATTAGTTTTCTCAGGATTTGAAAAAAAAAAATGAATGCATTTAAAAAGCATTGGCTTCGAAATTTTGCGCAAGAATAACAAGTTTTGTGTTGTTTCAGGACAAAAAATGGAAAAATTAAATGTGATATTCATTCAACCAGCAGCCTTGCAAAGAAACCTTGTTTTGGATATTTATATTACTTAAAGTATTTGGAATTATATATTTCTATGTGGATATTTTTTTTTAAATGTAATGTTGTAGAGAAACTCTGATTAATAAATAAACTTTTATTTCTTTATTTAATGGAAAATAATAATACTGATACATTTAACATGCCTGCAATAATATTACTATAATCTATTCTTATTTCGCTAAACAATATTAACAAATCAATAAATAATACATATGGAAAGTCAGTGATGCAGTCATCTTGACATCAAATGATAAAGTAACAGTGTCATTTTTAAATAAACATTTCATGTATATTTCATATAAACAAGTTTTCAGGAACTAAATTATGCATTTATTAAAGTTATGTAATGTAATGCCTTATTATAAATTATTACAGCTAAGTATATACATGTTTAAAGATATTTTACAAAAATATATGTATATAAATATTTTATTGCACTTACTATAAAATATTAACATTATATAATTTAGTGCCAGCTGAAGAGCCATTAACAGTTACAAGTTGTTGATATTTAGATCAACAGAAGTGACTTAAGGATAGATATTATGAAAGATAAAGTCAAACAAGCATTAAACTTAACAAATAATACAGGCCAATGATGAAAAAAACTTTTTTGTGTGCTGAGTCCGAAAATCATATTAAAAATGCTGTATCAACCACCATTTTTTCACAATTAAAATTGCGTAATTACATTTTATATTTTTTTAACGAGTGGAGAAATCTAATGTTACTTGGTTGGCAGCACTGTTAATGAATTATTGTACAACACTCTGTTCTTCTTCTTCTTCATTAACAGGTGTATAGTTCCTTTATTCTGCCGTCCTATGCAAGAAGGCAGTATCTCCAATTTTTACAATTTTCGAGTTTGCTTTTTTATATGGGTTCTTATACAATTATTAATATACCAAACAAAGTTAGAAAGCAGTAAGCGTTCATTTCTTGGTCTGGTAGACTATTAAAATTACAGTAACTCAACTTGTTGTTAGGGATTCCTTAGTTAAAAGGCAGTAAGTACCTTATACAAGCCTAAAAGGTAGTATCTCCTACAGAAAATGGAGACAGTGCTTTTTAATCTAGCACCTGCTTGAGTTTATCGGGACATGCCCCACCACACATTCATATCACGATATAAAAATTCTTAGTTTCTGTGTGTAAACAGTGTAGCCGGAAGCATGAGTAAGTTTCTTTCAGTTTATTCTAATTAGTCACACTTTATGTACGTGTTCATATCAATAATAAAGATTATAGTACATTTATTTCTTTCAAAAAGTTTTAGGTATATATTGTTATCGACTCTATTGTTAATAGGTTTATTGTCATATATTATTTTGTTACAATTAACAGTACCTAAAGAAATTTAAAACATGGGAACCCGTAGTAAGAAAATAATGCAAATGCTGCAGGCAATGGAAGTTATCAATCCAAGTTATGGTAAGGAACCGCTTGAAAGTGAAGAGATAGAAGGTAAAATATATTAACTTAGAACCCGTTAGGCTACAAATCTCCGAAAGTAAAAATTCAGCTTTGCCAGCTACATCCACTTTAACGAGTTTTCAGGCTGATTCTGATAACTCACTTAAAGACCCTGACTTTTTGCAGTCTTGTTCAGATGGTAGCATTGAATCAAAATCGGACGACAGTTCCAGAGCTACTAATAAGAGTTGTAACAATAAGAACATTACTACAGCTGGTTCAACAGGTGCCATAGCTTCAACAAGTTCTGCTGTATCTTGCAGTGAAAATTCCGATGAAACGTATAATACTAAAAAGAGAAAATTGTGAGCAAAAAATTGTTTCTGTGCACTCTAGGATATCATTCAAAGAACAACAAAATCATCACAAATGTTATGGTGAAAGAAAACCCTGAGAATATCGTACCTTTATTTGATAGAAGAGGAAACATACAGAACATGCTCCTCTCAAGAGATATATTCCGAGTGATATCACCATTCGAAGTATGCATAGAGATTTTATTACAGTTCATTCAAATATAAAGTGTTCATATGAACTATATAGAAAATGTGTGTCTAAGGATTTAAATATTTCCTTTGCATCGTTGGGCCATGAGGAGTGCGAATTGTGTGAGGGTTTTAAGCTTCACAATCCTGAACATACCGAACAGTCATTATCGGAGGATTGTAGTAACTGTAACTTTTGGAAAGATCACAAAAAAATCTAAGGAAGCACGTGAAAAGTACAGGGCTGATGCAGAGTATAATTATCCATCAAGCAACAGTTTGTGTTTTAGCTGACTTGGAGAAGGTGATTATGTTACCCAGAATTGATATGTTCAAATATATGTCCAAATCAAGAATTGGTCACTGTTCTCATACTTAATATATATTATTATCAATTCTAATATAATTGCAGCACAGACAATTACCTTTAAATATTTTGAACCAGGTCCTTCCTTTATGTCAGCTGACAGTTGTCACCATCAGGTGGAGCAGTCTTTGCAGCGAATGAAAAAGGTTTATGACTTCGCTGATTTTGTGTCTTGCGTTCAGTCAGCTAATTCTGGAAAGGTTGAGACCAAAGAAATGAAGCTTGAGGATTTCTTTGTGTGGCCTGTCAACTCATCGATTTACAAAATAAACATACAACACCACGACCCTACTTGAAAGACATGGTTGAAGTTGTTGCTAAGCGAGGTATCTTTAATTTATTTTATAACACAAGTTTTGTTTCCAACGAAACAAAAGAATTAAATTTTTTTTAAATTTAAAGTAGCCAAGTCTGGCGTCAAAGAACCTGTCAGCATTTCAAAACCAAGAGGAATTACAAAAGAAAGGAAGCTAGCGATTTTGCAAAATTTTGTTACATTAATTCAGTCGCAGATTTAAGATCGGAGTTTGATGATGTTTAATAAGTGGATTTTGTGTTTTTTTAATAATTAATAATCTGTTTTGACTTTATTTAATTATTTGTTTTTCAACAAAATGTAGAGTTAAGCTTAATGATGTTTTAAGAAAGTTCTTACCTAATAAAGTTAATAAAACGAAATGATTTTTTTTGTCGCAGTGCTTTCCGTGGAAGAAATATTACAGTAAAAAACAGTAACCTCAAACTAATTGGAGTTACTGCTTTTTTATGTAATTCATTCTTAACGGTTGTAATAATATACCTTGCTTAAAAGCAGTATCTACCATTTTCATTAAAATTTATAAAAATAGTTTACAAAAAAATAAACTTATTCAGTGATATTAAAAAGAACTACAACACAGTTAAACAATTTCGGAATCCATAAATAAATATATGGTGGCTCAGCCCTGTTTATTAAGATCTGCATTATCTCGAAACTTACATTTGTGGAGATACTGCCTTTTTGCTTAGGACGGCAGTATTCTAATAAACATAACCTCACTTTTCAGTGTTTGACTCATCCAGTTAGATTCTAACTCGATGGTTTGAGTCATACACTTTTAAGTTTGGTTAGTCCCGGTTGTAAAAACTGTCAAAATACGTTTTGTTACATATGTGGTGACTTTAATATCAAAAAACATCCGAAAAACATTACTGAATTTGTGAAAAAAGTGTATTAAAAGAAGTGGCCAAAGAAGGAAAAAAAGCTTTCAGATTTGCAGTATCTATGTTGTGGAGAGAGCAAAAAAATCATTCAAATGATTGTTATTTTTGTACTGTCGATGTTTCTGAATATATATTATAAAAATAAGAAAGTGATTGTTTATCCTAACCTCCCGTCTGGTAGAGCATGGACCTGAACTGCCACTCCCTGAGCCTCGTCTACGTATTGATGACATTATAAATACTAGTCAATCAGAATCTGATGAATGAATTCGGGCACATCAGTAAAAATTAAATGTAAAAACTATGAGGTAATCGTCACAGCGGTTTAGTGTTAACCAAGACATGCCATCAAGAAAAATCAATATGTATATTTCCCAACCAGTCAAGGACATATATTTATCCTTGGAGGAGACTTCAATGCAAACAATACGCAATGGAGGTCACGACTGACTACCACCAAAGGGAAAGAATTTTTAGAAGCAATGGAATACATAAAATGCGACGCAATATCAACGGCAAAGCCAACATACTGGCCTACTGACACAAATAAAATCCCAGACCTTATCGACTTCTTTGTAGTCAGAAATATATCAACAAATTACATAGAGATAGAAGAGGCATTGGATATGAACTCGGATCATTCTCCAATTATTCTCACACTCGGTGACACTGTTATCAAAAAATAAAGCCCCCCTAGACTTGTTAACAAAAATACTGACTGGAAAAGTTTCCAGATATACCTTGAAGAGAAGATTAACCTTTCAGTCCCATTAAGAACCGTTGATCAACTAGAGGCAGAAGTAGAATTACTCAATAAAAATGTACGACAAGCTGCTTGGAACAACAGCACTAACAGTGTTGAAAGAATAAAAGGAAATAACTACCCTAAAGATTAGAAAGACTAATTTAGATTAGAAAGAAATCAGAGAAATGATAACCGAAAAAAGAAAACTGCAACTGAAAAAGAAAACAAAAGGCCAACAGGTTTGCTGACCATCTAGAAAATACTTTTCAACCAAATGAAGAACAAGAAATAATTAAAATCGAATATTCAGCAAACTGCGTTTGGTGAGTATTTTGAGAAGATATAGCTCAATTTGATTGAAAATACCATTGAGGAACTAAAGCAGAAGGAAAAGCATGCATCCAAGAACGTAAGGTAAGTTTCCATATTTGCATTTGATGGTATATTATATGAAATAAATCCTATCAAATATATTCATAATTGAGCCAATTCCTACCAAGTGATCTTGAAAGAAAAACTGTGGCATCGGCCAGGCCAAAACAATAATTTTCAGGAAATTATGATCAGAAAAGGATTAGGTATGTGTTATGACAACCTGTAGTTGTAATCAGTAAGTATGATATAGATTGGAATCCTCAAGAATAGCGAAAAATGATCGACAAAGGAAGGAAAAAAGTGTAAAAGGTAAATAGGGGAGGTGACTAGAAGAGCAAAAACATCTTAGATCGAGGTGAAGGTCCTAACAGACTATCTACAGAATAAAATTAAAGAAACTAAGTATAAGTATATAGAGTGCTGATATAAATTTCCAAAAATAGAAACCGTATTCTA